GCAGGAGGCTGGCCGTGCCAATGCCTCCCTGGCCTAGACCCTGCGGAAGCTTCCAGGCAAGAGCCTGGAAGTTCCCTGAATTTTCCCTGTAGGGAAACAGGCTGGGGCCTGTAGGCCCTGTCAGAAGGAAGCTTCCAGGCAAGAGCCTGGAAGTTCCCTGAAGTTTCCCTGTAGGGAAACAGGCTGGGGCCTGTAGGCCCTGTCAGAAGGCAGCTTCCAGGCAAGAGCCTGGAAGTTTCCCTGTGGGGAAACAGGCTGGAGGTCCGGGACGGGCCCTGCAGGGCCCGTGTGGCTGCACAGTATGCCACATATTGCTGTTGATCGCCACTTGCGGCTGCACTTGTGGACTGTTGCCAACTGGTGTGCGGCCGTGATCGGGCTGAGAAGAGGAGCTGAGACTTGGAGGGATGTTCAGGCTAGACGGGTAGGGGGTTAGTGCTACGATTTGGGAGGTTGCCAGGGGATTGAGTTCAGCAGCTCGACGTCAGGACTATCAACCAAGCTGGTACATTGGCCATCATTGCGGGGCCCTCAGGCGCATCAAGGTAACGAGGCTCTCTCCAGTGAGATTAAGCGCATCTCCCTTGGACCCTGAGAGTCTACTTTTTCTATTTCTATCTTCCTTACTCTCAGTCTAGTCTTTGGTTACGAGAGGAAGGCGGCAGGCGGGATTGAAACCCGTAGGTCCGCGCCAAGGCCTATGTGGGACGCCCCACCGATTGCGGGAGCTCTGCCGGAGCCCAGGCGGGGTTCTGGAGGCAGGGAACTTCAGGTATAACCTCGTTAACCCATGTGATCCCTTCCCCTACTTATTATCCCTGGGGTATCTAAACAATGCTAAGTAAGGATATTACTATTTGTTTTGTTATGTATGTCAGGACCTGTTCTGCAAAAGGCTAAATGAACAAGTATCTATAAGAGTTCAGATAAGTCGAGTGGATTCAGACAGATTGAACTGGGGGAAGGTATGGTGAAGGTGTTATGTATGCTTTGACCAGGTCAATCCAAGGCTGAGCTCCTCTAAGTTGATGTGGGCTCAGTGCTGTGTTTTATTCATGTCTCCTGGGCTGACTGAATGGTTTTGAGGACTGGGCCTATCCTAAGTTGGACGTACCAGTCGCTGTTTTTTTCTGGGGTCTCTGAACAAGAGGACGGGCACCCTAAGTTGGGAGGTTCCAAAATCCTGATTTTTTTTTATGGGTTGCTGAAAACAGAACTGGGAACACTCTAAGTTGCGTGGACTCAGCTCTGTGTGTGTTTTCTTTTGAGGGGACACAGGCATGAGGCTGAGCGTACCCTTAAGTTAGGGCGGCTCAATCATAAGCCATGAACACTAAGGCCAACCAAAGTATACAACTTTGATATTATTATACGAACCTATATCATCTGGCAGACCGGGCACCCTAAGTTGGGAAAGCCAGTCAGCAAGTCAGGTTGAACAAGAAGAGGAGAAAAGCAATGAAGAATATAATGAAGGTAACCTGGGCAGGCTGAGCGTACCCTTAAGTTAGGGCGGCTCGGTCCTATGCTCGTAATAAGACAAAGGATCAGCGAGTTAGTATAAACTTGTTTTATTTTCCCTTCTAAACACGAGGCAGGGTTGGATGTCTCCCTAAGTTCGGTAGGTCTGATCATCTGCCTAATAAAAGAGAAACACATAAAGTTTGTGCATGTATCAATGGTGGTTTTCATATGATTGTCGTTACGGAGGCTAAGCGTACCCTTAAGTTAGGGCGGCTTAGTCATACGTCGTTGTGCTTTGTTCAGGCAGATTCTGTCTTATGTAACTATAACTGTTTAAGCTAGCTAGGCATACCCTTAAGTTAGGGCGGCCTGGTGATAGGCTCTTGTCGTTGATGTGATGTAGGTCGGACGTACCCTTAAGTTAGGGCGGTCTGACCATTCGTCGTTCGTGCTTGTTTTAGGCAGGCTAGGCATACCCCTAAGTTGGGGCAGCCTAGTCCTATGCCCTATGTAACCCGGTCTATGAGCTGGCTAGGCATACCCTTAGGATAGGGCAGTCTAGTTTATGCTTCATGTCGTCAGTTAAGCAGAAGCCAGGCGTACCCTTAAGTTAGGGCGGCCTGGTCATATGTTTTATGACTAGAGTTTATCTGGAGTTGGGCATACCCTTAAGTTAGGGCAGTCCAGTTGTGCGTACCTTTACTTGTTTACTTAGGCAGGTTGGACATACCCTTAAGTTAGGGCCTTGTCTGATCCTATGCCATAAGTGAGGGGGTTATTGAAAGGGGACAACTAAGTGATCTAACAAACTACCTGGCAAATGTATGTGGGATTGTGAGAGATGCATGCTCATGTATGATTGTAGGGTCTCACTTGGGGTGTCTTTTCGATAGGTTAGTTGCTTTAGATGCTCGCCAAGTGCTGGAGCCATAGGTAGGTCAGATGGATGTTGGGAGGGAAAACTTGGTATGTATGGAAGAGTCTCGATTGATTCATGTTGAGTGGTATTGCATGGATTCAGATGGGCAGACCACACAACTGTCGTGAGAGTGAACTACCCCACAACCTTTGTGTTTGAGTGAGATTGTGCTATCCCCGTTCTGCTGAGGTGATAATCCAAGTAGACATTCGGGTAAACCCCCACAGGGCTAATCCCGACGGTGTCCTTTCTGATAATACTAAAAGTATTCGTATCCTTTCCTTGTTAGGGTTTATTTTGGTGGAACGATAAAGTTCCGGGCGGAAGGGTTAGCATGTCGCTGGTGTTGCGCCAGACAACTCACCACCGCTCCAAATTCCTTCCTTCCCTAGGGGTCGTCTTACCCCGCACCCTAGGGGCACCTCAGGGTGCAGAAGACGGAAAGGCCCTCAGGCCGGTTTTGCGCCCACTAAAGGGTTACCTCCCCTTAGAGCGCGCTTCAGCCAACGCCTGAGCGTCGGAAGTAACCCCATGGCTCCGAAGAGGCCATTTGGGTATGGGCACCACATAATGCGCCGTCACTGCAAATACTCACATAGAACCGCATAGTGAATTGGTATCTGTGGGTACTGCGTCCGCTCGCTCTTATACTAGATCCTCGTGCGCAGCACTCGCCGGTCCTCGTACTAGGAGTTATGGGTCAGATAATGAAGGGGCTAGGAGTTGTTGTGTTGTGGCGTTGTTTGTGGTGTTTGTTTCGCGTGGGGTTCCAAGTGTTATGGGTGAGTAACCGTGAGTATTGTGGTGTAACGCGTGGGTATGTAGTGCGTCCTAGTCGACCGACGTCGAGTTGCGTTTGGGACTTCAGCCCCCCAGTACGGCGATTTGCGTACGGGTTCGATTTTCGGGCGTTCGACCGCGCGTACCCCCTATGCTACAGCGAGCGAGAAATGCCCTTCGCTGGGCCACCTCTGCAATTGCATACGAAAAGCTTTCGCATGTGGTTCAGTAGCTCGACAGGGATACGCCCACCTAAGGGATGGTGACAGCTCCCGCAGGTGGAGGTAGCGGTGCCTCGCGTGACCCTGTCCTGTCGTAGGGGCTCGCGAGAGGTACGGCTGGCGCACTCGGCCGGAGTGGCAAACCCTCTCCGTGACAAGTCCTGCATAATCCTGCGTGACGCGGCCGGGAGGGTCCCCGTGTGGGACCGATGCGCTCGACACCACGTCTTGAAAGCGGTTTTGTACCGATCTCTTGGCTGAATCTCGATCTGGTGATAACCCGACTTGAGGTCAAGCTTCGAGAAGTACTTGGCGCCGCCTAGTCGCTCGAGAAGATCATCGATCCGAGGGAGAGGGTCGGCGTTCTTGATCGTTTGCGCGTTAAGTTTTCGGTAGTCAATGCACAAACGAAGGTCCTTGTTCTTCTTCCGGACGAAAAGAACGGGAGCACCGTATGGCAAACAACTAGGGCGAATCTAGTCCCTGGCTAAGAGGTCGTCTAGTTGTGCCCGAAGCACTTGTAGTTCCTCTTCGCTCATGCGGTAGATACATCCGCGCGGAGGTACGGCGCCGTCCTCGAGAGTGATCCCGTGGCGAATGGGCCAATCCGGTATGACTCCGGCGGGAGCTTGAAAGACATCCTCATAGTTGTCCAACAACTCAATGATGCGTGGGTCCGACGTATCCGTCTTGGGCTGATCACCGGGTGGGAGGGCGTGAAGAAAACATATGCCCATCTCCTCAATGTCGTTCCGCCGGATGGACTGGCGAATGCTCGCCGCGGATACCACGTGACAACCAATCGAAGGATGAGGAAGCGGCACCGTACACGGAACTAGTTCGCCACGCCGATCACGAACGTGAACGGTGCGGCGATGGAAGTTCACGAGGTGGTCTTCGCTTTGCAGCCACGACATGCCTAGGATCATTTCGAACTTGGTGTTCAATATGTCGAAAGACACGGCCTCGCTTGCTAGCGGGGCAAAGTACACGGGCACCGAGTCAACGCATCGGTCGATTGACTTTTGCGTGTGACCATCGGCCAACGTGACGTGCGTAGGCTGACTTTTCCTTCGAACGGGCGGGCCGAGCCCGGTGCGTGCCATGAAGTCTTGGCTCATGTAGTTGCGAGTCGCTCCACAATCGATCAAGGCACTGCAGGTCGCCTTTCCGATCTGAATGCGGATGTAGAGGAGCGGCGCGTCGTTGTCGAAGTACCGTTGCGTTGCGTACTCGCGGTCGATCTTCGGAAGATAGTTACGAAGGTCAACAACCGCTACTCCGCCGTCTGTCGACGGAGGTGGTACTGCAGCGTGCAAGTATTCGCGTAGATGTGACATTAGGGCATTGCAATGCGGAGTTGGCAAGGAACCGGTGGAGGAAAGAGGCAACCATTGGAAGTCCTCGACTGTCAATGGATCGAGATCCTCAAGTCTCGTCCAAGTTGACGGATCCTCCGATAAAAGGGCTGGCGAAGCAACCGGTTCGTTGTCCGACGGCGGAACTGCCGCGCATACGCTTGAATCTTGCACGTGGAGAGGTTGGTTCAGCAGTGGGACCAGCTCAACATCATAAGTCTCGAAGTCAATCCGAGAGCTTGCGACTACCGCGGTGTCCCCTGATGTGAGAGAGGCTGCTAGCAAGGCAGCCGACTCCAGCGGACTGGGAAATGTTGTCGTTGCACTTCCTGTGGTGCTCAGTTTCCCAAGCCCGAACGCTTGACATTTTCCTTGTCCTTGTCGAGGCAGGCACTGGTGATGTGTTTGGTGCTGTTGCACCACAAACAGCATGACCACTTCTGTCGCAACTTGAACATTTCTTCGGTAATGCCAAATTTCATCCATGGTGCCTGTCGTGCTCCATCCACTGACGCTTCTTTCGCCTTCTTCCCCCCTCGGGGTTTCGTGCGTCGCGGTGGTATCGCTGCTGCCACATCTCCATCACTTGATGTTGAAGCGGCTGTGTGGTCCTCACTTGTTCCTTGTTGGACTGCTGCTACTTGCGGTGTCCATTGTCCCTTGCCTTTCTCCACGTAACCGGGCTGTTGGCGGGGCTCGTTAGCCGCACGCCGGTTACCTTGTATATGTTCTCTAGCTTTGGCGATCATGTCGTCAAAGTTTTTATACTCGAATTCGCTGCCGAGAGCAGCTGTCAAGGCGTCGCAAGACCGGGCGAAGAACTCGCCTCGGATTGAGTCGAACGGTAGGTTCAACTCCGGGGTGGCGACAAGTCTTTGCCACTCCGTCAGCCATTCCCGCGAAGGTTGCTGGCCTTGGAAGATGCGGAAGATCTTGTTCAAGGCGTGACGCTTGTCGTTGTTCACCATGAACCGGGTCTTCCACTTCTTTTCAAACTCCTCCCACGTGATCTTCGTGTGGAGGGTGGCGATGGTACATTCTAGCGTGACGGCCACGTGCGTCATGAATTGTTGCGCCCCGCCTATAAGTTGGACGTACAATGCGTCCATCCGCCGTAGGGGCGGAGTATGATGTACGTCGGCCTCCACCTTAAACGCCATCCACCATTGCAGCGGATCAGTCTTATGGTAATCGTCGAACTTCTCGATCTTGAAGTTCGGCATCTTCCATTCCTTGGCGGCCGCTCGTTGCTGGACTTGATCATTGAGCATCTTCAATTGACTGCTGACTGTCGAGGTTCCGGCAAACTTGTTGATGTCGCCAAGGGATGCGACGATGTGATTGATCCGCTCATCGAGCTGTTTGGCTTGAGTGGCCAAAGCTGGGCTGCTGTCTGAAACTGCACCGCCCGTTGACTCGACTGCAGACAGTCGTGCCATCCCGGCATCGACGGAGTCCTGCAGTCGGTCATTGATGGCCTGCTGTTGGCTGTCGGCGGCCTGTAGCATGCCGGTGTCGGCCTGCAGGGCAGTGATGTTCTGATCCATTGCCTTGAAGTTGCCTTCATGGCGGATGAGGACCTGCCGCATAGCCAACAGTTCCTGTTGTTGCCAATTGCACGTGTACAGCAGGTTCTCAATCAAGACTGCTGTAGTTTCCCTGTTTCTCTCGTCCTCGGTTGGTTCTTCTTGCTCCTCAGTTGCTCGGAAGTGCTGCTGTCGAAGTACTCTGCCGTATGCGGCTTCTTCGTTGAGAAGGTTCATGGCAGCCTGGAACCGAGCCTGAGTTTGACTTGCGTCGAGCTGCTGCTGCTGTTGCCTTGCTGCTGCTGCAGAATCGGCAGCGGCCTGCTGACGTGCTGCCTGTTCCGCTTCTTGTTGGAGTCGGATGGCTTCCCGTCGGGCGGCATTTTCCTTCTCCCATGTGCGGAGTTCGGTGGCATTGGTCTCCGTGTACTGTAAGAGATGCTCGAGAAACGAGAGTGCGTCTTCATCGGCCCATTGAACTGGCACAGGAGGGGGAAGCGGCCTCTTGGGAATGCCTGGCATATTGCTGTCGGCGTGGCCGGCTGCTGCAGCCATGTCTGTGCATCGCTTGCGCGGGATCTGCGGTGCCTTGGGTCCCTGTTGGGGCTTGGCTGCCTTGGATTCGCGCTCTGCCAATTATTGGCTGCGGCGCATTTAGTGTCCGGCTGCACGTTGCTGCTGACGTGGCACTCTGACGTGTCACTCTGCTGATGTGTCACTGTACTGACATGGCACTCTGCTGACGTGGCACTTCTGACGTGTCACTCTGCTGATGTGTCACTGTGCTGATGTGTCACTCTGCTGACGTGGCACTTCTAAAGTGTCACTCTGCTGACGTGTCCGGACACTGTAGTATGAAGGACCGAAAGGAGGAAAGAGAAGGTAGAGGTGGGAAGAATGGAGGGCAGGCAAGCAATGCACAGACAGTCCCGTTCCGCCCTGACCTTGACACTAATCAAAAAAATTCCCTCCCCCCGACGAATTTTCCAATTTCGGGAAATTAAATAAAATTTTAATCGAAAAAATAGGAATTGATAAAATTTTAATTTTGACAAAAGATTAAATACCTGATTAACAAATATTTACATTTGCAATAATGAATTTCACAAATGTTAAATATTTAATCAAGAATACTTAAATTTGCATTAATAAAAGAAATGAATAAGTTTAAGCAAGTTTAAACATTTAGACATAACTTCCAAAAAAAATCACGAAATTTCGTCGGAAGAATTTAGCATCATCACGAGGTCACTCATTTAGTAGAGATGAATGGTAGCAGGAAGATACACAATTTGCTGGAAAGATTCAACCTTTCAACGCAAAAAAGATGTAGTTTTGCAAAAAGTGAAAGTTCCGTGAAGTTGCAGTTCGAATATGGCCTTGCTCAGGCCCGATCAGCCTTGATTGGCGCGGTGCCTGGCTGGCACTTACTTCCGATAGGTTAGGTAGGTCGTTTAGATTAGGTTAGGACTAACCCTAATTAGCGCTAATTAGGTGTACTCGTAATTAGCGATTTCCTAATTGCGCGATATGGAGAAACGTCGCAAACCTAAAATTATAGTTGAAACGACCTAATTAATCATGAAAGTACGAGAAAAGAAAAAATTTGCAACTTGTGATTTAATGATAATAGAGTGCAGGTATTGATAATCAATCAATCAATCAATCAATCAATCAATCCATCAATTAATGGTGAGTCATCCAATGCTGGTCTGCTCCGATACCAAACTGTTGCATACCCGTGAAACACAGTCATAAGTATGGCGCAGATTCCCAGAACCGACCAGATAATACAGAGTTATATAGATGCAAGCGGAAGACTTGAGATACCTTCGCAATGACTTGCTGATTTCTGCTGCCGAGATTAACAGCGAGGCTGTACACTAACCCGGTAGGTTAGATTCGTAATTTTGTTTGAGGGCTAACCGAGAGACCTGTCTGTAGGGAAATTCTTGAGGGACAGATCTGTAAATCTGAGAAAATATAGGCCCAGTACTAACCTGAATTCCTACATCTACCCTAACTGCTGATAGCAGGCCCGAGCTACCCCTAGGACAGACAGGCCCTAAGCGGCCTATGCTGCTAGACGGTCCTATAGCCTATAGCCGGGTCCGGTAGAGGCCGAGAGGCCGAAACAGCAACGGTACCGGTCGGTCAGTCAGTCCGGTCTAGGTCTAGAGAGTCTATAGATAGGTTAGGCTCACCGGTTCAGGACTTTTGGCAGTTCATTTCTCGCGAGCAGCGTTGGAGAAGCCAAGCGAGTTGGTGGCGGTACCTGTCTACAGGCGGCATCCTGAGACACGCCGTGACAGCAGCCATAGCCGGCCCTCTCTGAGTCTGCCATAGCTGGGGCATCCTCAGCGCATCTACCCCTGGGGGTTATCTGCGTATGGCCGGGCTGTATCGAGGCTCTACAGTGGTGATTCGTGGGTGGTGGCAGCCATAGCTGCCTGTTCCTTCGTTGGAGTTGTCCATCGGCACTGAAGACTTCATCGCAGTACCTGTTCTTCATCAGGGTGGTTGGCGCTGGCCTCTGGGAGGTTGTTCTGACATAGCACTACTAACTGGATGTAGGATAGAGAGTGGGGTGTGAGTTCTGAGTGTGGCGAGATACTGGAACAAACTCTGTTACGATATTTGTGTGAGTGGCTCATCATCAGTGACAGTTTCAATTGTGATCTTCGCAGGTTCTTTCTTGTGATTGGTTGTTGGGAGTTGTGTCAAAGAGTGAGAAACACTGTGTGTCTTCTCCCCTGCTGTGCATAATTGTCTTCCGCTGTTTATCTTCGCCTGTGTGCAGTGTGGACTCTGTCTCCTCTCTCCCCATCTCTTGTGCATGTATGGGCATGTATGAGACTGTCTGTGTGTGAGTGGCGAGAAAATTCGTCAGACAACCAAGTTCATAACAGTTGGTATCGGAGCGAGATTGGAATTGGCGCACTGAGGGTTGAGCGCATTGAGGCATCTTCTTCATCCTGGCGATATACTGGGGAGAGTTTCATGGCGATTCATCTTCCCCAGTACTGAGTCAGCAGGGAAGAAGACTTTCGGCGGTGGATTCAAGTGCTCAGTGGCTGTACTGAGCAAGCGCACTGAGCCTGTCAAGGCGCTTGTCAGGAAGTGGCGGGTACAGGGCTAATTCGCCAGTCCGAGAAATAACGGATTGCACCTTGGGGATAGGAAGAGCCAAAACTAAGAGGAAGAGGCTAGAAAAGGGCCTTAACGGCCACTTGACACTTGGCATGCTAGAAAAAAGAGAGAAATACACATTTCGTTAAAAGTGAACCTTTTGATTGTTCACTTTTTGTAACAAAGCCGGAATTCATGTTGGAGCGACATAAATAAGAATAAATCGAAACAGTCATTGGTAACTGTTGCTAAGTGGGCAGTGATATGGGTCAACTGCTATCGCTTGGAGTACTGGACCCATCACACACACACACCCCACCCAACCCCAACCACCCCAGCACACCAACGGTGTTCGAAGTTCTCCCTTGTAGGCAATCTTCATGGTAGCCTTTTGGAGCGGCCTTCGGTCGGCAACTCAGAATAAACTCTAGGTTTGTTCGAGTGCTCCGGGCCCATCAACATGCAAATTGTGTGGTTGATTATGGCCACTGCATAGTTCGTAGTGAGCGGGATACGTACTTCAGCCCCCTCCCCCCCCCCCCCCCCCCCCCGTGCGCCGGTTCGCGAGCCGGACCGCATTATATGAGATTGCAACTGGATTCGATGACCCATGACATACCCGTTGTCGACCCCTTTTAGCAAAAAGGTTCGGGCATCGGACATTATATGAGATTGCAACGGCGGGTTCTTAGGGACGGTGGCGAGCGGAGACCGTTGTTGTTATGTTGTTTTCTGTTGTTTAGTGTGTGTGTGTATACGTTTTATTTTTAATACCATGTTCGTAGTGAGCGGGATATGTACTTCAGCCACC